CACCTCGCTCTCTTTCTTCCGCACCCAAATGAAACGCATCCTCGAAGCGGCGTCAGCTGATAACACTGATTGAACTTTCCAGTTGTTGTCCAGTACAGTGAAATCGTGGCTCGAGCTCGTTACGAGCCAAATGGCGGCCTGGATCGTCTCGTTTCTACGCTTCCTCAAGCTCCTATTCTTCATGTAGGAAAATATCGGCCGCGCGCTATGTCGTCTCCCCCTAATCGAACCGGTACCGTCCTTCGTTCCCCGACCTGTCGTGAGTGTATGCTTTCTGAGCGACCTTGAGAACGTCTCCTGTCGATGGAAAACACGTCGAGACCGTGGCGCACTAACAGAGTTCCCGCTCGAGCTTCCGGAGCCGGCTTTAGTCTCGACAGCGGTTTTCCACTATCTTAAAACGGAGCTGTTTGAACGACCCTTTCAGGTGAAAAAATCGTCGGCCGCTCTGTTCGCTGAAAGATCGCGGATGAAGCTGGATCTGGCTAGGAGGTTAGTGAAGCCAGAGTTGAACATCGAGGAGAATGATCTCGACGCAACCACGGCCTCCTCTTTCAGCAAACCGAGGCCAACCGACGTGCCGGTGCTCGACGAGACGAGCAAGGTCGCCGAACACGCTAAACCCGCCGCCACGGCATCGGGACGTAGCAACAGGCCTTCCACTTCCGTGGAAAGCTCTCGGGATGAGGTTAACGTGAAATCCTCGAGGAAAGACCACGAGGATTCGTCGAAGGTCACCGGCCGACCGAACGGTTTAAAGAAAGGGCGGATCATTGCGGAACGTATGGTCACCTCGATCTCGATCGAGGAGAGAACCGCCACCGAGGAGACCACTAAACCGTATGTATTATCCACGAACCCTCCGGTGATCGCACCCGCGGAACAGGGATCGGAGACCGCCGTCGACTCGACGAGGATTCGTCTGTCCGGCGGTCGAGCAGGGAAAAAGTCGAAGGAAGAGGACTCGACGATCAAGAACATGAAGGTTTCGCTGTACTCTACTCGACGTACCGAGACCAGCGATCACGTCACCACTATTAAACCGAAGAAACCCTATCTCTATCAATCGCGCAATACTAAATTCCAATTGCAAAAGTCTACGCCGATCGAACAGAGTTCCACGACGCCGTCACCGAAGAAACCGTACGCACCCACGCATAGGAAATCGCAAACGTTCCAATCGCAAGACGACGTTGCTAAAAAATCGAAATTTTCCAACAGCGCTGGCAAGCCCATGTTTAGACCCCGTTATAGCAAACGGACCAAGGAGAAGTCTATCGACGAGAAGAAGACGAACGACGAAGCTACGATCACCACCAACGTACCGGTAGCTACTAGCAGATACTCGAGGAAGAAATCTTTGGTGAAGAGTATCGATGACAGATCGATAACCACGGACAGACCAGCTACCCAGACTAAGAAGCTTGAGTTTCGTCCTAGAACCGCGACCTACAGAAGGCACTCGGAGGTTCCGACGACCTTAGTCGAGTCGAGTACCAAGGTCGACAGACGTGCAGGAGTCGCCATCACTCCTAGATCGACAAAGTACCATGCTACGTTGAAGACCACGACCGCATCTCCTCGATCGGTAGCGCAGGAACCGCGAGTGAGCCTGAAGATCGCCAACGAGTCGACATCAGGGATTATCGACAACAGTAACGGGGACATCGGTAACTCGAACATCTTCAATCCGACCAGAAGCACGTTTCTCAGTGGGAACAACACGCTGCTCGAGCAACTGAGAAGCACCGTGGCACCATTGCTCAGCTCTCTTGGTAACAAGACACCTGTGTTCTCCGAGTCGTACAGTAACGTTAACAACGCGGTAAATATTCATCCTTTGATTGTTCGATTTGTCTGGGATTTTATTAACCCTTTAAGGGCTCACTGGACTTTAAAGAAGAAACAGTCTCTTTCTACTTTATTGCTTTATTTTCTTAGAATTAATATACCGTTTTTTAATTTTTAACATTATTTTTTAAACGGGGACTTATACGTAAAATTTTCTGTTCTGATAATATTATAGAAGTGGATCTTACGGGGTTAATAAGACTAAATTTTCTGTAAAAGAAGAATTTATTTTTTTATAAAAGAAGAATTTATAAATCGATCGAGTATCATTTTGACGTAATCAATGTATTTTCTTTTCTTTTTTTTCTTTTGTGCAGAATTCACCACCCAGAATTACCCCGAGTGGACAACCACCCCGCTTTAGCGCGAGATACAAAGGAGCGGAGTTGTTCGTTAGAAAACAAAATAATATTTATCAGCCCACTGTGCCATCGATCACTAGTTCGTCGACTACGCCAGTTACACCTGTAGAGGTAAGATTTTTCATATATTAAATATTTAAGAAGTATAAATTATATTCAGGAGGTACTAACAAGAAATTAATTACATTTTAAATACGATATAGTTTCCTACATTCTTCAAAATATTTCTTTAATTGCTTCGAACGAACTTACTCTTCGAGACTGCAAATTTTTATGTATTTATTGGAAATATTAAAGCGCATAGAACACGTATAAATTGAAAGTACATCTATATGAAATATCTAAAATACCTGAAGTGTTCTCTACAGCACTTGATAAATTATATTTCCAAAAATACAAAATTGCATAGAAATCCACTCATTTGCGTCGTAATTTCTCAATAGTTAAATTATCATCCGATATCATTCACTCGAATTGACATAGAAACGTTGAAGTAATAATTAAATTATAAATGTGTTCGTTCTCGAGGAAAGAAAAAAGAGTCGTAAAGTAGCGTTAAATTATGGAAGGTCGTATGTGAAAGAAATGGATCGTGACGATGATTAACTAAGGTAAGATTACATGGCAGGAGAAGAAAATTGTAGGTGATTAACAATCAGTCAGTGTGGTCGTTTTTTGTGTGCTTAAAAGGTTTTCACGACGAAGGTAGCCGAGAAGATCGGAGCAGTCTCGCCACCATCGTGGACCGATCACATTGGTGTCATCACAACTCCGTCTGGAAGTCTCGATTCTAATGACATCGATATAAATAAACTGCATTGAACTAATCATTTGGATTTTCATACTTGGCTAGATCAAGTTTGGGCAATATTCGAATAATGATTATTTAAATAACACATCGTCTTATTTGACTCGTTATTATCTGAAAGTGGCAATCAGTTTAAATGAACAAATGATTTTTCTCGATATTATTTCACTATTTTTTTTATCACGTGAAACAATTTTTTATACTTGATCCAAAGATTTAGTATCCAAATATAGTATATTTTATACTTGATCCAATATAGTATATTTTATACTTGATCCAAAGAAAGTATCTAAAGATTTTATCTCGATGAATTAATTCGGATGAAAAATAATTCGTAAACGATTTATTCAATTCGAATAGAAGTATTCATTATCTCAATTTGTTATTTTCTATCTTTTTCGAATAGAACTTGCCCAGACTTGAGTCAGATTATTAATCATTCTTTCTTTCCATTGATATTATAGCGATTCGTCGTCCACAAGGATTTATTGAGTTCTCTTTAAAAATATCATCGATAATATTAAAAGATTTTTTTTTCTTTTTTCTTTTTATTCATTTCGTACTTTGTTAATATAATTTTGTATATTTTCCCACATAGGTGCCACACGATAAATGTCGTGAATAATTCTCCGTTTGCAACTTTCTTTATGGTTGAATTATAAAAAGAGAAAAAAAGATTATAAGTAACACAAGAAAACGAACAAAAAAGTATATAACCTACTTGTGATTAACGTTTACATTTAATTTTGTGATTTATACTACTTAATTATCGTGGGTCATTTTCATTTACTAATGTGTACAGATACTTGCGTTGTTTTACTATCACCATAATTCATATACACAGTGTTATACAATATTATAATATATCTTTGATAATAAATGTTCTGGTTCTTGGATCGCACGCGACATGCAGTTGTTCGTTCTTATTTTTAATCGCGTCCATAAATTGTTCTCTCGCATCATATCGAAATTACACAGAGAATTATTAAACGTAAACGATGAAATCGTAATTGAAAAACATCAACCAATTAATTAATTAATATATTGTTTTATCTTCTAAAATATAATATTTATCTTCTAAAAATGCGTTGTTTTATCTTCGAAAATATTAAAATATCACCGTTCTCGATGCTATGATACCATCTTCAAACGTTTTTGTAGAAATTCAGAAAATCAGAATAAATCAGTATCATCGTTACGATTGTAGTATAGAATCAATTTGTACGATTCTGCCTTCAATGAATACTCCCACGACTTTCACGAACCCGCGAGGATTGAATAAGCGTAACTGAGTTATGGCTCCGATCCAGTTTCGTTGAAATTCAACGTAACTGAACCGAACTTTCGAATACGAACGCATTCTGATTACGTGGGCAAATTTTCGCGGACCGTGCTTTTCCACGGTGTTTGAAGCGGTAACGAGTGAAAGTAAATGGATGCTGTGTTACGTGTGTGTACGTTCAAAATTGTCTCAACTGTGTAACATCTGAGGCATGTAGGTCGATCCAAGTGATTAGAAGCAAATAATTAAGAAAGAAAGAAAGATATTTAAGGTCGCGAATTTACTTTCTCTCGAGACAGCCTCGACCTCGGATTTTCTGTAACAAGTTGCTCGAATTTGAGGAATTTTAACCCGATTTTCATCAATTCACGTGCAAAAGAGCCTGCGAGTATTGCCAACATATGTTACTTTTGATGAAATCGGCATGTTCTTTTTGTTGTCTTTGACCTGTTCTCTCTAAGAATTTTTAACGCGTACACAATTTCCAAGAATTACTTCAAATCATATCCGGAATCACGTTCCGACAGCTGTTGTTGAAGACATATCACTGGAGACCTCTGTGAGAGAGGATTAACAGCTGTGAGAAATCGCGATGAAAAGGAGAGAAAAAAAAAAATCAAAGTGAGCGGGCAACCAACCAGTCTCTATATCAACGATCCTTCGCCCGAAGAACGAGTTTCTAGTTCACCGTTGCTTTGCTAATGCCAGTGTTCCTTGATGCATTCAAGCAACCTCGGTTTCTCCTCTTCCTTGCTTAGTTCGTATCTATACCAAGAGATGGTGTGTGTATGCTCACTCGATTGTTCAATCAATAAAATGACCGATGAACTTTCATAATCTGTAATTGCACGTCAGATTGTCTTTCGACTTAAAGAACGAACAACGATCGTGTCGCATGCGGATCTTCGTGTTATTGTAAATACACCGATAGACGTGCGTTAACGCAACGTAGAAACTGTACAATACATGGAAGGAAGAGTCACCAGTCCCGACCCGGCACTGAGTTTCATGTACATACAGCACTTCCTGCATGCATGAAATTTCTGTTTCTAGAACTCTGGTTCGGCACCACCGATCGACATCTCGAGCCCCGGCGAGCCGAGATTCTTGACCATTTATCAGGCACTGGAGTCGGCCAGCATCAGGAACGAACAATTATTACGAAACGCGAGTGTACAGCTGCAAGAGCAACAAGCTGACAGGGTTTCCCAGGTAGACTCTAACGCCACTGCGATCGCTAACATCGTCGGCGATAATGCTAACAATGACACGACAAGTCCCACTGTAGCGACTATCACCCCAGACACCATCGCGAACACTACTCAGGATAGTACACAGACCCCGAGATTATCCGAGGACCCGGAGGACACCACCCTCGCGATTACCGCAGGATTCCCTACGAATGAAACCCCTACGACCACCGACTCGGTTTTCACGAGCGCAGAACCGTCCTCTAGTACCGAAGTACAAGCCTCCACCAGCGCAGAATCGCTTTCCACTACTGAACAAATTTCCACCAGTACAGATTCGTCTTCTACTCTGGCAGAGATTTCCGTCAAAATCGGTTCTGTGCCTGTCACCGAACCAGCCAGCACAGAGTCGTCCTCGCAGGCTGCGGATGAAACGACGATGAATGTCACGGATGCGGATGACGTTCAAACTTCCACGTCAGATAATGGTTCGACGAACCAGGAACTTGTAAGTTTTACCACAACTACGAGCTCCGTCTCTGAAGGTAGCAGTACCGAGGTCGAGGCAGGTACGAGTTCCACTGGCAGTAACAACGAGGTGCAGAGCTCGATCAGCGACGTCGATGTCACGTCGAGAGTAGACGTATCAGAGAATACGACAGAGACGACAACCGTCACCAACACGGCGACTACTTCCGAAAATCCCGAGATCAATACTATACCACTGTCTGATGTTACTGCCACGCAGATAGCTGATATCAGCTCGACCGATGCTTCAACGACCGAGATGGATTCAAATAACGGGAATGACGTGGAGACAACTACAACGATATCTACGTCGACGATTCGGACCAGGTTGATAGATTTTGCGGAAGATATTCTGTCGCGATTGCAAGCGACTCTGTCGACGACCATGCTACCGAATCAAGATTCGACGACGACGTTGCCTCTCACGGAAATATCGAACGTGGTATCAGATTCGAGTGGTGACCGTAATTTGGAGTCTCTGTCGCAATTGAAGGACAAGACGACAACTAGTCAAGGAGTTACGACGGATCAATCGAGTTTAGGAACGACCGAAGAAGTGACCACCCAAAACGCAGTAGGTTCAATCACTACTTCGTCATCCACGATGGTACCTAATCGAGAAGTCAGCACGCAGGACGAATTGAATTCATTCACAAGCACAACGCCAGAAACAATAACAACTACAACAGTCACACAAGATCTTCAGACAGTGTCGAACTCAGATTCAAACGACTCCTCGAGTCCCACGTTAGACGTTGAAGTAACTACTGCGTCGATCGTCACTTCCACCAACGACACTTTGTTGACAGAGTTAATGTCCATTGCCAAGACACTCCTTTCGGAAGAGATAAACGATACTCAAGCAGCGACAGCAAGGCAAAATTCGAACGTCACGTCTGAATTAGGAGACTTGATGGAAAATGAGATAGACCGACCAAGTTTATCGAACTCAGACGTACTCAGCACAACTCAAGCTGCGGAAACATCGTCCGTTCCTCCGGATGTCACGACAGAAAGCGTAGACTCAACGTCGACCACCGTAGTTGCGCCCAAATCTTCAACTTTCTTCGTTGATTCTCCCCAGAACGAGGTAGACTCTACTACGACCATATCTTCTGAAAATTCGACAGATACACCGACAACGATCCCTCGGAGTAACATATCTGACGACAAAGTAGAGAGTGTACGGAACGGAACAACACCGGTAGCATTAGGACCCTTTACCGAGTTCGTAGAGTCGACGACCCCCTCGTTTACGACAGAAATCGGGTCACAAGTTACCTTGTCGAATAGAGGATCGATAGATCCCGACATTACGACTCAGACACAGACAATCATCAGCACACAAAGCTCAGAAACCACAATCACATCCACCATGAACTTCGAACTAACCACTAACACGTTCGATCTGTTTTCGTCAAATTTAGTCACAACGGTGAATCCTCAAACAGCTTCTGACCAGGTTACAGGAAGTGTTACAGAACCTGCGGGAACCACCGTGGCATTAAGCAGTCTCACAACCGTAACATCACAGCTTGAGACAGATACTGGCACTCTCGAACCCGAAGTAACTACCATAGCTCCCGAAACCATCCCTTCTCTTGTAAATATGATCACTACCACACCATTTGTATCCGCTGTAACGAATCAAACCGATCAAACCACGATGGCGCCTGTCATAGGCTCGGTTCAACGTGTAAACGATGTACTTGTGGAAACTAACCATACAACAGAGTCTACGACTCAGTTGGTACCTCTGACCACTGAAACCGCTGATAACGAAACCCTCGAAGCCACCACGCTATCAATTACAACCACTGCGCCATTGGATGTTAGTTTCATGGACAGAGTCACTATTAACCAGTCTCTGTTAACGTCGAGTCCAATGTCATCCACGGAAACTACTACTAATACGCCCAGCGAAAATATCCCCCAAACGACCCCAACCCTCGAGAACGAAACTCCAACTGTTGTTGCCCGTTTCCAGGATACCACATCAACAACCGCCCAAAGGACGGCAGGTTCGAGAATCGGCCAAACGACCGAAATTGCAACTCCCACGATCCCAGATTCCTCGACCACATCCTCTCCCACTTCATTGTCTCCCGACTCTTCTTTCATCACAACCACTTCATTTTCGGTCGAAACGACGACGGCGACGACCACGACTGAGACGACGACGCCGACGAGTATAGGACGCGTGCCCGACGAGGGTACATCGACACCTCAGACGACAAGAATGGGCATCGTCACTGTCACCCCGTTGACAGAAACTACCACTACCGTCAATATAGAAGAGAATCTTGTGTCTACTGAAACCACGACGTCGACGGGTCCAGCCTCGTCGGACAGTACAACCGCGATGCCAACTTTCACGAGTACGCCTGGAGGTGTTCCCATCGAAGCAACGACCATGTCCATGCAAACTGGAACCCCTGGAACCAGCGCACAGACAACAGTTAGCCCCCAATCTAGGCTAACTTTCCAGAGTCCAACGACACCGTATTTAGGTCGTTTCGGTGGCAACAGATTGACACCCGCACCACGGTTCAGCACGAGCTCGAGTACCAGAGCGCCTCTACGCGACTACCTGGTGTACGGAATCTATCCGAACAAAACGATCGTGAGAAAACGGCCGGAGGACAACCTAATCGATGCTAGGAACGTGGACAGCCCGTACGTGATATTCGGTATCTTCCCGGATGGCAGGCTGGTCCGGAAATTCCCGAATGGAACGATAATACCGGATCCACCTAGGAGCCCGGTCGAGGTTGTGTTCACACTTAGCACTTCCACTACCACTAACAGGCCGTATTATAACCAGGCTAACCAAGGCACTTACAATCAGTATCGAGGCCCGGTGTACGATAATAACGATAGACCTGTCGCTGAAACGACGAGAAACGCCCAAACTCCCGCCACCATTGATGCTCGTCTTTCTGGTAACGCGATCGTCGGCCCCAATGGAGGTGGACCCGATAATACTGGGCCACTTGGTACCCCTGCTAGCCTCCCGAGCATCAACGAAATGGTATCTCTTATTCCATCTCCTGTTCATCATCATCGATCGTTAGCCGTTCGTGCGCCGTTGCTCGTACACGTGACGAGTATACGGTCCGTTCCAAGTGAATCAGCTCAGTTCGTTTTTTCATTTAATGTGCTACTTTTTGACGTCCTCTTTTTCGACGATCATTGTTGTCATTGTTGCATAAAATGTGGGGAGGTGAGAAGCTTCCTTGGAAAGTCGAATAAGGGAAGATCTTCAAATCTGGAAATTCGGGGAATTATAAAGTTTTAGAGATACTTGCAGTATATATGATAAATTATTACATAATTTTTTGTATTAGACAGTTGTTGTTTCTGAGACAGACTTGAGACCATGTAAGATTTATAAAGATTTATAATTAATAAAAGGTTGTAAATAACTGATGAATCTTTCATCATGCGATAATTCTAATTCAAAGTAACTTCTGTTTCAAAATTTACTTCGTACATCTCTAAAATTTTATAACTCTTTAAACTTCAATCTTCCGGATTGAAGATTTTTCATTCTAAATTTAGGATGTAAATATTAATAAGTTTTTTTTACATGTTTTTACATGAGGTTTTCTGTAAATTTTTAACATTCAATTGTTCTTTTTTCCCCTATATATTATATATATTTGTAACATAATTTGTTATAATGTAATTTTTTAATTACAACTGACATTGTAATTTTTATGGCAACAATGGCGCAGAATACTTGCTTCTTGTTTAACGCTTTTGGTTTCGTTGAAGTAGATTCTTTGGTAGTACTAATTTTCCAATTTCGTATCGATTAATTACGTTACTGTCTTTCTTCTAAATTCTTTAGTCCACGTTATTCTAAAGTCTATATTTCGACCTAGTTTAATGTTAAGAAAGATTTATCAAATGCCTACTTCAACTTATTTCACTATTTCAAATATTTCCATATAGATTGTTTCAATTAAATAGTGGGAAGTTGTACATAATTTCATTGTAAATTTGTAAATAATTAATTATATGTGTGTCGCATGTTCGTCATTTTCATACACCGCGCACTTTGAAACGCACTCAATTTTCAGTAGATTTGGTGTCTTTCACATTTCGAAATTTCACAGTTTAAAAACTTTCCATACGAAATGTGGCAGAGAAGGAAGAAAATCAAATAACGCAAAAAGAAGTTTATTATAGGATTCGATAAACTTTTCGAAATAGAAAAATATATCATTTTCATTCATTCGTTCATTCCCACCGATTATCTCAGCGAGGTCCCTCGATTATAGTGAAATATCAATTGATTGTTCTTTATTTATTATTACCGTGTTCATTTAAATTTCAATTCTCTTTTTTTGCTGGAAAACGATCTTAGGGGTGGGAACATCCCTCTAAAGGAATCTTTTATATTATTTATGTGATTGTCATTTCATCTACCCCGTATGAAATAGAATTCTACCACAATTCTTATCTTCAAAATCGAAATACAAAATACAGTTAATAACATTCTTGTTGTAACCAAAATGAAGAAATTTATAAGATAATTATTTTTTCATCTTAAATGTTCTTGGTTACATATAATAATAATAAATGACCAAAAAATCTTCTTCTTTGTCAGGAAATTTACTGATCACTTATAATCGTAATATAATTCGAAAATCTTTCAATTTTTCAATTACATCGTTTTCCAAGAAATTTTCTTTGTACTTTACATAATAAACAAGTTTCTGTCACTGATTATTTTCATAAAATCTCTCGGGACGGCCGTTACCTCTCGCCCGATGCAGAACGATCGATCAAAGTTTCGCTATTAATCTCATCCCGGTATTTCGTATATCTTCGCGATGCAGGCTCGTTTCAACAGTTTAAAAAAAACGTGTATGATATTGCATTGTTTAGAGCAATGCCCTGTTGAATACGCAAATGGGGACAGCGTCGGTGACGCCGATAGTAAGTACCGGTCGACCGCCGACCGATTCGCAGGGCGGTCGTATCGTCCAGGATCGAGAGAGGGACGAGGCCACCAGGACGAAAGAGGCCGGAGGTCAACGCAGCTCCGTGTACATCGGACAGGTAAGAAAGCAAGAGAGACAGAACATGATTTACAACGACGCCGCGGCTGATTCTTTCAGCGCTGCAACATATCTCCGCAGCGAAAAGAAAGAAAGAAAGGAGAAAAAAAAAAAAGACTGCAACGTCGAATGTTTCAGGACAAGTTCGTCAATTATTGGACCGATGGGGCTTCCACCTCTAACCCACGCGTTCTCGGTGTGAATATAAATTCGGTAGCTGTAAGTTGAACGAATAAGAGGAATTTAACGGTTTCCTGTCCTTCACTTGCGCCCTTTATTGAGATATTGTTCCTCGAATACAGTAGAGTCTCTCATTTCCGAACTAGTAGGGAAGAAAAATATGTTTGGTTAGTAGGATCTTTGGATAATAGAATATTGGATAATAGATGGTATTAAATTGTGAATGAAGATTAAGAAAATGCTTGTGTTTCGATATAAAGTATATATATTTTTTTCTTTCAACTTTTCAAAAATATAAATACTACTGTAGAGATATATTCTTTTTGTTTCGAAACCTCGAAACCCTTTTCTATGTCTTTTACATCTGAATTGAATTTTTCATGTTATTTCAGATTGTGGAAAAGTTGTGTATATAACGTCTTTATTATCCATAAATGAAATATTGACTGAACATAATTTCTTACATTACATTATGTTCGATTATAATATCGTTTCCCAAAAAATTGTTATGCATAAATAATTTAGTACAAAAGAAAATATCTATTACTAGAAAATATTTTTGTTCGGTAGAGATTCTACTGTACTTTGAACTTGTCTGTAAAATACTAATGGTAATTACCAATTATTTATAAAAAAAAAGTATACTTCATATCACGTTGTTAATAACGTCAAAAATTCTTTTGTGTATACATCTTGGAAACTAAAGATGAGCATCAGTTATAAACGATGTTGATCTTTATAACACATTTTATTAAAATCAAAAAGATAAATAATTACCATAACAAATTTTCAATTTTCAAATCATATATTATACAGATACCGTATCTCTTACATTATTCTATCTATTGCATTAGATATTTTTTTATACTTATTAAATATATTATTTAGACTGCTGCAAACAAGGGGCAATCGCCTGCTGTACCATCGTTTGAGAATCTTCTGAATAATCAACCAGACAGGCGAGTCACAGCTCCGCCTGGATTCCCATGGAGGGATCCTTTGGACCAGATCTTTGGTATTACTACCTCCTCGCCGGTAATAACAGCTTCAGTTGCATCAAACACTCTGGTTCGTATTCGTTGAACTTTACCTTTGAATATCTAACTGTTTCCTTGCAATTACTTTCTTGAAAAAAGGAATTCTCTTTAAACATTTCGATTACTTTTCTATTATTTATCGAAGGTAAAATTATGTAAATGGGTTTCTCTTTTAGGACGATTCGTCAGAACCAAACGGTCCGATCTCAGCACGACCGATAAATCCATTCGTCGAGGTCTTTACCCCGTTTTCTAATGCGATTGGGGTTCCTAAAGCCAACATAGGTTCCATTCCTCCTCCACCACCGCCATCAACGTCTGTTGCATCCAGTACAATTCCTATACCTACTACTAGTACTACTACTACTACTACTACGATGGCATCACCACCATCACCAATAACAACAACAACAACAATTACTACTACTACTACTACTACTACGGCACCAATGACCACTATTACTACCACAACGACAATGGCCCCAACAATTTCCACGATTACAGCACGTGCTACTACTGCAGAGCCTGCAACAACGGCTCAAAGGGCCAATATCGCATCACAAGTAGGAACATCTGGAGCAGCAACATCTTCTCAAACAAATTCGTTGGATTTACGAAAGAATTTGTTGAATCCGCAACAACAGAATGCTTTTGGTACTACGTTCGATGATTTGGTCTTTCTGAATTCGTTGGTAAGTAGATACCGCCGTTTAAAAGTCTTTTCAATATTAATATATATTTTTCATTTAATATTCAGAATTTATCTAAGACATTAATTAAGATGCAATTGATCTCTCAATCATACCCTTTTTTTGGTTTGTTTGTACAGTTACAAAGTAATTCACGAAGCACCACTCAGAAGACGCTCACGCAAGTTGAGCAGCTCTTGGCAAATAAGGTGTGTAATAATATTCTATATATGCAATAATATTCTATATATTCGGTATTGACTTATTATATAATGGTTACATAATATACAATGTATAAAAAGGTAAAGTATTCAGAATACCTAAATAATAGCCTCCACACTGTATCTCAATCAAATAGAGTATTACTACATTTTATACATACACGAATAAATGTACATATGTAAATTACTGCAATCGACATGCAACACATTATGTACGATGTTGCGTTTTTTTTTAAAGTACGAAGAAGAAGGGATATAAAAAATAAGATTTGTATTGAACCAATACTACGTACGATATTAAATTTCTTCGAAAACACAAGGAATTTGAAAAAAAAAAGATTCTTATTGAACCAATAACGCGATCATTGTCGAAGGCTGGATGCAATTATCGTTCGATCTGCGACGAGAAAACCGAGAAACATGTTGCGACGCGGACGTTAAACGATCCTTTCACTACTTTGCATAACTGTGCAACATTGTATTTCTAATGTAATCGAACTAGAAGCTGCTTCGATTCTCTTTTTCCTGTCTTCTCAGTCTAAACTCCTTTCACGTGTTTCTTCACAAACGTTGATATAAAAATTGCGAGAAAAGAAATTTAGGTAGATCGTTGATTATCTTTTGTCACGCCCTTCTCGGAAAGACATAATGACGGATCTGCGACAATCGTAGATCATATGATCGACCAGTCACGGTGAATGGACTGGAACAACCTTGCCACTGCGGCCTTCCTTATTTCGTGCCAACAGTTGTTCGATATGTCGTCTCTCGGTAACGTTACCTGCTGATAGAAATTGAAGAAGTAAATGATCTTAATATAATAGCAATAAATGTCTTTATTCGACATAACCATTACTATTTATTTATTTATTTATTTTTAGACGATTTAAATTACAATAATCTAATTTAATTTAATTTATCAACGAGGAAGAAATTATTTTAGCAGATAATATATCAGTTTTTAGATTAACTGGAGCAAGACAAGATACTATAATGAATGAAAATTTTAACAATATCGATGGAGATCTCCTGGCCAATGAGGCTTTCTCGCTTAATTAAATTATCATTATACTCTGTTTCTAGATCCTGGAACTGGCATTGAAAAATCCGGGACCAACTCGATCACCAAAAGCAATCAACATCGAAAATCCTCCACCAAATTCAATTTACCAATCACCGACAAAATCTCCTACAGAGCCAATAATAATCGAGTTGTCTCCGTCGATGGCAACTTCAACGCAGCAACCAACCAGTCAGAAACCAACAATTAGTAGCTCGACACCCGTGCAAGTGACTTGGAAGCCAGTTACAACGACTACGACGAAAAGAATCGAGACAAGCACAGTTCCTTCGTCGACGACGATTAAAACGACTTTGATAAGTACCACTAAGGCTCCTGTAACTATCAAAGCTAAACCAGCGACCACTCCTCGACCTAAAACCACCACTCAAGCACCATTAGGCTTCGCTGGTCTTCTGTGGCAGACTCTCCTTGGTGGGAATATATTTGAGCCATCGACAACTCCAAAACCCGTGAAAGTTAAATCGGTGGCGAAACCCACGCAAAAAGCGGTCAATATTACACCGAAACCACTTCAAACCACAGAGAGGATAGAGACAACGACGATTCCCTCTACTGCTACGACTCTGAAAGCAGTGGACATTTCGAAGATTCAAGTGAGCAGTCCAAACTCGATTATAAATGAGAAGTCAGTGACGACGCCAGGTCCTATTTCGACGACTGATCAACCATTGATAAATAATCCAAATCCGAGATTGCCTAATGTGGTGACGTCGACCTATTCTCCTGAAGATGATGCAAAGTTCTTGGTCGAGCTTCTGCGGGCTGTTGAACATGGTGAGTACTATATAGAAATGATTGAAAAAACTTTATAATTTACAATTAAGGACACAGTTTGTAATAAATGGCGTTACATGTTTGTTACAGATAATAAAATTGGTTCCTCGAAGAAAACATCAGGGTTAAGTCGGGACGACGAAGCATTTCTAAGAGCGATTTTAAGCGGTCGAGCGTTAGCAACATCACCAGCTCCAACATCGACGACAGAAGCCAGTAACGCGGCTTTGTTGGCGGCGTTATTGAAAGCTCAAGGTATAGAGCCGTCAACTCCGGCTAATAACATTAGAGAGCAACTGCAATTAGCGGTGAGTATCATCGACAAAATTTAGTTCATATCGTAGTGAAATCCTAGTAACAATTTATTTTGTATTTATTTAATACATGTTGCAAATACATGACTCGTGAAATTTAGTTGTTGACAATTGTACATGAAATATGGGATAGAAATTTTCAAAAATCCTTAGAATATGAATACATTCAATAATATTAAAAATTAGGATATAAGTAAATCCAGTTTGACATAAGTGTACATGTTCTAATAATGTTGACAATAGGACTTAGAGTTTAGTCTTTTCGTTTTTAATTTAATTTTAACCAGTGCAAGTTACAGTTACAAAATGATCGGAAGTAATCACGACTCTCTCCTGCATTTTCTATAATCGTAACGATGCACGAGTCATACAAAAATTGTAGCGAATAATTCGATATAATTCTTACAAATTGAACGACCTGGACGCGAGCTCGAACGATAGTTAATTGAATGACAAGAGCGAAGCGGGGCGCGATGAAAGAAAATAATTGCTCTTCTTGTAACAGAGCCTCGGGCAGAGCGTCACTTCCACTACGACCACGTCCCCGACCAGCGAGTCTACGACAATTACAACAAGGTCGGCATCGACTGCTGCAAACCGACCTACGGATACCACAAAAAAGTCAGTGACACCGAGACCAACCTCGGGGCCAAGGACACGCACTACAATTTGGTCGCCGAGCTCTACATATCCACCACCTCTTTTCAGCTCGTTCCCTGTACGATCAACCGGTAGTAATTCTGGAAATAGCGCGTTAATCGGTGCTACCAGAGCATTCAGTCAGTTTCTCGGTGCTGCGATAAGTGTAAGTTATTTTTCTATTATTTTTATTCATTGACCTTTTCGTTCGCGTTAGTGATGGACAATGAGAGAATTAGACGATAACTAGTCTGACAGAATAGCTAGTAATAGTAAACAAAACAGTAACTGAATATTGAGAAAAAAAGAGTAAATTGATATTTTAGGAAGAAAGTTTAAAATTGATAAAAATAAAAGATTGATATTGAATGATTTTAATATTAATATTAATACCAGTAGATATATATTAATATTAGTAGTGATTTTCTTACTTACATTTTAGTACATTTTGTATAGGCAATGAACATGTTCACTATTGTAGAATATAGTTAACAAAGTTACGCAGGAAATATAAATTAATTTTAAATTAGTAAATATTTAAATTTTTGGTCAGTTCAGTGTACATACGAAAGTATTTGAGTACACTTATCATAGAAGCACTTTGATGTACATGTACAATTCATATAAATAATATGTTTCTTTATATTTCAGGGAGCTGCGCAACAATTGCAATCACTGGTGAGAAATGGCACCAGAATCGTGTCCGAAGTGGTAGGATAAAGCTAGTGAAAGAGAAATGAATTAATATAATTCATAAAGTAAAAAAATTCATCCACCGATGTGCAAATTTAGAACGATCTACGTAAACTACGAAATACTTCTGCTCCGAGGGTGCGACGATAAGTATTCATTGTCAGTTTATTCGTAAGATCATAGCTGTTTGAGAAATCTTATTGAAAGATTAGACATTCACTTGACGAAGAAAGAAATCTCTCGAATATCACTCTGTTATTTGCAATCAATAATTACTGGTTGATCACATATTTCAATTTAACCGATCTAGCTAATAGCTAGTGTGTCATTTTATCTGTGACTTAAGAATTCTTAAAACAGGGAATAAACAACTGTTGTTTGTTAGAAATTTTTCTGTTTAATCTGTTTCTCTAATTATATTTTCAAAAATATGAATTTCCGAGAAAAAAATCAGGTGTCGATGAAATTCAAATAAAATTCTAATACAGATCCACAACTATCAAGTTACACACAGATATCATAGAAAGTAGAAATTACAAGTTGAATTTCGTCTCCAATACGAACAACAGTTTCCATTCCTTGTTTTAAGCGTGTCAGAAGTATCTCTCACTCAGCAGAGGAGGTCTATGTCGATAACGAAATCAATACGAAGTCTCGATGGATGCGAGTCGCGACAGACTCGGTCGAGTCGACGCCTTGCAAACGTTTCTCTGGGGTAGGGCCGATCGACGGCTCCGGATACCTCTTTGAGACATTTGTAACGTTCGTCGCAATTAAGGTAATTAATCGGAGGGGGACGACGCGCCTCGTCACGACTCGCGAGACAGTGACGATCCGCGGCGTCCCACGTGTGAAGCGCGGATCGATTTGCGGGGCCCACCCACAAAGCTCGACTTAACCACGACCTCGTCGACGATGCTGCTTAAGAAGAAGGTGGTAACTTAAACGTATATCTCTGAATGGGAGCGCGAGTATGAGAAAGAATGCGCGTGTGTATGTGTCTAAAAGAAACAAAATGACAGAGAGAGAGAGAGAGAGAGAGAGACAAAGTAAGACAAGGGTACATAGAGAAACGTGAAGGGAACATTGTGTGTATAGTTCGCGAGCACCTTTCGCCGTTGGTGCGTCGCGTTCCTTTTCTTCTTTTTATATAATAAAGCTGGAAGCGTGTGTGTAAGGTGCACGATCTACCGGGTCCTGTTTGTTTTTCGTACGTACGTACATCCGCGCTCAAAAGTCTTGGGACAAGTGTTAATATTTTCGCTTGAGAAGTAGGAAAATTAAATGATACTTTGGATTAGAGATCGCCGTGTGAAACGGTTATTAAGGAATAATTACATATTTTTGTTTTATATATATTATACGCGTTTTTAATATTACATGTCGTTTTTATATATAACAGTCTTTAGTATAGTTCAGGAAATTCTCGATTGTTACAGGTGAACGATTCTTAATGTGACAGGGATTTCATCTTTTGGATGGATAGTGTTCTTCTATACAAGATTTTTAAATGTTGTGTTCATTATCGAATCGCAGAGCCGCACGTACTTCTACTAAATAAAATCTCTATAATAATAAAATCTCCAAGTATCAAGATATCATTGATTCGCAAAGTCATTTAAACTCTGAGATATTGACAAAGTCGTTAGTAGCTTTTGAATTATACTGCATACGGTTTACATGTGAAAAGTCTTCAATAAAATGCACATAGAATTGCTGAATGTTAAAAATAAAAAATTTCCTAAGACTTTTGAGTGAGAGTGTGTGGTAGCTTAGTAAGGTAGTATAGTAACGCTGAGTAATAAGCTTGGTTATTTAACTACCGCGTTAAGGGTTGACGCGTTGACGGGTATTTTCCTATCGGACGTTCAAAGAAACTGAGCGGTCCAGGTAGCCACGACGTTGTGTATATTGATTTTTATTCCACACTATATAATCTGTCGATCGGTCGTAGCAGTGGAATTCCAATTTTCCTCGTGATCCGTTTTTTCTCTTTATTTCTCCGGTTTAGGCCTGTCCCATTCATCTACTAGCACTCCACGAAGCGTTGCTTGTAAATGGATAATTATAATACACGTTTCGGAAGAAAACTTAGACCCAGGAAACAAATGCGCCCTTCCCTTCAGTCCAGAACTGTGTCTCTTTCGATATAATTTATAAGCTATATTTATAATTTATAAAGAAGAAGCTCTCGTTTTGTGTATAGATATAGGCATATGAACGAAGCTTGTCTTCTGTATAAAGATATATAAAAGTTTATAAATAGATGGGAATTACAGAGATATAATTATTAATAATCCCTCCCCACAGTATAACAAAATATAATATAAAAAAAATACGTGATTTTTCGTTTCGCAGGAAAGCAAAATTTTTTGACAATAAGCTAACTTTTAGTATTAAATTAAATTCAATTTTCTTATCTTTATTTCTTAAGTTATTAGAAAGATTTATTTCATTTATTTTTTTACCAATAAAAATTTGTCAGTTTTGAATTAATTTAGTAAATTTTAACAACTAACAATATTGCGCATAATAACATCAAGTAGTATAATTAAGAATTTCATTATTGAACAACTATACATACAATATCACGAATGAAAGCAATAAGATACACATACATATGATGGAGGGCAAAAGAATGTTCAAAATTAATACACGTGTATATGATATTAATACTTACCTACACAATTAATAATTTTTATATTAGACATTTTTTTTATATCATCAGTAACAATTATCTGTCCGTGAGATGTTTGTTTTTCTTATAATTTCATTCTATGAGATTATACATTATATATGATGTATAACATATCATTTGCTTTGGAAATTTTTTCCCACCATAATGTGTAAGTACGTCATTGCTTTCATTCATAACAGCTGATGACGCGCATTCGGCGTCACTTTTTCTTATCGCGGTCGTTTTATTCGTGTCAACCTCGAATAGAGCGGAAATTGTTATTCAGAATAACTCCGGATTCAACGTCCGTTATCGTAGCACAACCAGAGTGTGAAGATAAACTTGTTTCACCGATCTGGTTGGCATGATACACGATTTCAAGTTATTGTCGATAACTATACCACTAATCTCGACTTATTCAATTACAGTGGTCTTTCAGGAGGATATTTCATTTCGACAAGAAAAATGAAAAAAGAAAAAGAAAAGCGAGAAAAGGCAAGAAAGATGCGAAAGCGAAAGGGACTGTTGCTTTTCTCTCTTTTTTTCCTTCCCTACATTTCGTATTCCTCTTCTTCAGCAAGAACAACGTCGAGGGTCTGGACTGGAATATTAATCACACGCTATGACGTATTTAACAGTCATTAAGGACAGCGGACTAGATAGGATGTAAAATGCGGAGGAATAGAAAGTGACAGGGGCTTTTCTCTCCTTTATGCACCGACAGAAATAATAATCATTCCAAGTATTATGCAACTGTAACAAATGATATCCTTCTGTTTTAGAAAAAGAAAAGAAGATAATTAGAAAAATGTGTTGCAAGAAAAGTGATACAAGAAAAAGATAGTTTAAGGTATTGCATACTCGTGATTATATCTCGCGCAAGTAAGTAATAAGTTATTTTTAAGAATTCTTTTAGATTAAATACTATCGTCATTTGACGTAATAAAAAGTATTAAAGTAAGACGATTGACTTGAAAAAACACTTTAATTTTAATTCAGGAAAATAAATTTAAGAGTCCTGTTATATGTTAAATATATCAGGTCTAATCTTTTCACAAAATAAATTTTACAAAATTAAAATGATTTCGTCCATGTTTTATGTGAAGAAATGACTCATGCAAAACTCATAAGGATATATCTTTCAATTCAATCTGTTTTATTCGATTCTCGATCACAATAATTTTACGAGCATGAATATACATCTGTTAACAAAGCAATTATCAATAGTCGTTTAATCTAAAACATTTTAAATCCTTGTTTTTGGCAATGATTTCTAAGAATGGTTTGCAAATGGTAAACTATAAAATGATCATAACAATTCCGAAGAGACATCATTCAATTTTATGAAGAAATTCCTTGATACCATAGTCATTTGCCATAGTAATAATGATTTGAGATTTAAAATAAATAATGTGGAAGAAGCGTTTTTACGCGTGTATTTCGAACGAAAGTGTAATCAGTTTTAAAGATATGGTGATTTAACCATAATAATTAACAGATTTTAAGTACGGTGCATCCTCGTTTTGCTTGTTCCATTTGGCGTTCATAACGTACGATGTTGCATTCCAAGATAAATGTGGTATTCGTATAACGTTACTATCGTTATACAGTTAAGTTTCGCTCGCAAATGCTTGATTGTTTGATGTGAATTCAATAGTGTTATATATATACCGTGCCGATGACTTTTAGTATTTACAGAGTATCACATTTGAAAATTTAATTTTCTCTGGTATATTTTATAATTCTTTACTTCGCGTGGATACACAATATAATTTTACTTTATTTCCATTTCGTATTTAATTTGATATTTTGTTTTATAGTGGCATTTGAATACTTTGTACTAATATTATACACGTATGTATGTTATATAAAATACTTTGAAATTTTATTAATATTGTGATGTGACACAACTATTGTGGTTATATTGGTAAAATTTGAAACAATTTTTAAAATAATGCATATAGAAATTGCAACAATATATTTAATATATTTAATTTGTTGATTGTGGCTGTTTAAACTTCACTTCTGTGAAATATATACTTGTATTAAATGTCACCTATTTATTATTAAATAATAATTAAATATTACTATACAATATATTAACTCAACAATATATTATAATATAATTATAATATAACAATATATCATAGTAATAATTATAATTATATATTATAGTAATAATTATTAATTATATATTATAGTAATAACTATTAATTATATATTATATTAATAATTATTAATCATATATTATAGTAATAATTATAATTATAATTATATTATAATAATATATTATAGTAATTATTACTATACAATATATTATTTCTATATAATTATTATTACTATATAATATATTATTACTATATAATATATTATTCGTGATAGTTTTTAGATTTGTTTCAAATTTGACCAATATAATAATATAAACCAATATAATCAAATGTTGAGTTACTTCAGATACTTTTAACAATTTCTTGACTACACTACACAACTTGTTTGTCGATTCTTTTCTATTAGTTAGTCATTCTTCAAAAGAAGGAAAATTTTATGAGAGAAGTCATGTACGTAATTAATTCTTCTCAGAAACTATGTGAAAAACGAACGTGATGAAAGAACACTGTAATTTAATTGAAGATGCTTATTGAATGCATAATGAACGATTACTCGATAAGAATAACTGCGCAGAGCAAACTATTCCAAGTTGAATAACGAATAATTGCCTTACCAGAAGAAATTATTATCACAATAATGCATTACATCGTCGATACTCGAAGAGACGACAATTATCATGTTTTAGCAGCGGAATAATCCGTTCGTTAACAAAGAAACCTTTCATCGATCGACGAAGATGTCCGCCTCTCCCTTAAACGAAACTGCATCCCTGGCAAAAAGTTTTCGATCAAACGCAAATGTTTAAAACATTCAAATAACAATGAGATCTTTCGTGTTTACGAATTAACTTTTTTTTTAAGATTCACCTCCGACATATTATTATCTACGTGATATTACAAAGCTGAAGCTTGTATTTCGAGAAAGAAAATTTCATACGTATTTATGGCTATTTACATAGTAAAATAATAAAATGGAGGAAGTTATTCATTTTTGATGCAGTTTCTTAAAGTCTTCAGTGGTCCCCAAAGGGTTCAAATTGAAGTATCCAATTTTATTTTTGCACATATTTGGAACAAACATAGTAGTATCCTATAATTCAACAATATTTGAATTTATATTATTTAATATTTCCAAACACTTGCGTTTCAAATATTTTTTCCCTCCAACGTAAATGAAATCTCCTACATCAGTCTCTTCCTCATGAATTCTCCTGAAGATTCAGACCATTAAACGCATCAACTACTTCTCGTATATCGGACTACTGTTTTGCACTTTTGCGTCGGCATTACCCACCATGACCTACGAGCTTTGGACGGTGGAAGCGCGAACCATGGTCGAGGATAAAAGGTAGGATACGACGCGGCGGACCAGCAGCGGCGGCGGTGTACGTACAAGTTTCACCGGCTGGCTCGCCACGAAAATCCCTGAAACGGAATTTCGCGCCGATAAATAACAAGAGAGCTCAGCCGACAATACCGGCTCGAATCGTTCGGTACCACATGCCACTTGGTACTCGGGCAATTTAAATAAATTAACGAAGAGCAAGCGTATCCAGGCCCGTGGTCGTTCTACGTGGTGGATGTGAAGCAACAGCAACAGCAACAGCAACAGCAGCAGCAGCAGCAACGGCAGCAAGGGAACAAGAAAATGTAGGAGGAGAAGAAGAAAGAGAAGGAGTATAAGAAGAATAAGAAGACGAGAAAGGTCGACGGTGAAAGAGGAGGAAGGGAGGAAGTGTGTGTGTACGCACGGAACGATTGTACGAGTGGAACACCCACGCGTGCTCGCGATGCCTTCGCAAATTCTTTTTTCTCCCCCTCGCGGATAATTACAGCTAATGGCAGTCATTGAGAATGCGAGATGCGTACCGATCTACGTACGTATGTTGTTCAAGACGACGTTGCACGAGTGTTCGACGATAACGATTTCAAGAACGTTTCGAGCTCGGAAGGCTCCTTACGATATTTAATTTATTGGTTGAATCGTTAAGTAGACGCCGGCATTATCGAGGCTGGCCTCACTTCCACGATCGACGACAGACGGAGAGATAGGATCGATCGATGGACGCGCCATACGGAAGATCCACGGAGGAAGATGAAGAGGCACGGCTACGCGCAGCGATTTTCCGACATCTCGAGCCAAAGATTTATTTTCGTCAGCGTCTCTTTTCTTCTCTTCTCCTCTCTTCTCCTTTCTTTGCACGCTGTGCCGCGGCTCGGCGGCGTGTTGTTGCCGCGCCGATCATTCTGTGTTGTACACGTTGCTCCTCGCGAACCGAT